AAAAACATCATTGCAGTTCTACAAGTACAGCGTTCAGGATAAAATCGTAACACAAAAACGACAGCTTCATCGAGATCATAAATCAAAATTTTATTTCCTTTTTTGATGTATTTCTCCTAATGTTACATAAACTGATACATGAACGCAGCCCACGGGCCTGCATCTACGGCCCTACAAAACTTTACAAAAGAAAAAAAATGCAAATTCCACCCAATAAAAAATATAGCCCTGTTAATTTCCTCTAGAAAAGGCATCAAATGAGGAAAAAGTGACTTGTGTTGTGTATGTGATACTAATGTCTGCTCCAAATCATCAAAAATTACGTTGCCTGCCGAAGCATCTTCTGGAGTTGGATCAATTGCTGCTGCTGATCTGGCGGCAGGGAACTAAGCTGCTCAGGCGTTAGGCTCAGAACTTGCTGAAGCAAGGCTGGGTCAACATCGGCCAGGACTTGTAACTGTAAAGACGATGAAGAAAATTGTTCGTAATCTAGTAATAAAAGGGAATCCAAAAGTTTCTAAGAGGTGGGCTAATCTCAAAACTAAAAGTCTCCCCCAAATAGTTGACTTGACCAAAAAATCTTACAAATTGCTTCATACCACATATGCAGAAGTTATATTCTATAAAGTTGTTATTTTTTATTATTGTGATCATTCCACGTCAGTATTCAGTTACTTGAATAATTAAGCTATTTGCAGTTATGTGGAGCAAGTTCCCAAGAAGTGACTTAACACACATATGTGGAAACCAATTACCTGTGTAGCTTGCTTCTTAGAGTTTGGAGTCTCTTCTGCTCTCGAAAATGGTGTGATTATGTTTACAGACTGAGAAGAAGGGATGGCTTGTCCGCCATTCAATTTAACCAACTTTGATGCACTATCAACTTGGTCTATGGTGTCACTAACTCTTGAAGGCCCAATGACATTCGAAGCACGTCGTTTCAGATCCAAATTTTCATGCATGGTGAACGCCATTGAGGAGCTAGGTTGCTATCAGGGAAAAAAAGAAATGACAATATGAAGGGAAAAAAAAAAAAATACAATTCATGTACAGATTGAGCAAGAGTCTCGATCAGACAATTATTGGTCGGACCTGCATTCATTTACATCAATGATTTGTGAAACTAGTTTACTACCATACTCTATCTTAATCACCTATATCGATGAAAATCGAACCCGATTTTGATTCATCTATCATCTCCAAAACACTAATTAACGGATGCTATGAGTCGTCATGCGGCACAATGGAGCTATAGGCAATGTTTGGTAGACAAATAGACTAGCTTATAGCTTATTTGGTTAGCTTATAAGCTTCCTGTATTTAAATAGGGTTCGTTTTGTATGACGAGCTTATTTAAAAAGTTCGAGCATATCTCATAAGTTTCTTTGGGTAGCTTTTCAAATAAGCTTGTTGAAAATTTTATTTCAGCTAGCTTATCGCCTAATTTTACCAAAACACTTTTATCATATAAGCTAGCTTTTCAGCTATAAGTCATGAGCTATAAGCTATAAGCTCGAAAATTGCTAATAAGCTATAAGCTAGCTTATCGGTAAAACACATAATAAGCTATAAGCTAGCTTATCGGCTAGCTTTGATTTGAAGAAAAGGTTAGAGAGAAACAGAAATAAAGATAAGTAGACATAAGTTGAATTGGTAATTCTAAAGCTATCGTGAAAGAGAACATTATTATTTATTGTCTTTTTACTATTCTTTAATGTTTTAACTCTTGAAAATAAAATTTGGCACCTGAAAGCCTGCAGCCTGCAACTGCGGATTTACAAGAAGAGAAGGATGTGGGGCTGCATTCTGAGGCCGTAACACTTGGTTCTGGACCAACGGTGGACGTTGAATTTGAGGTTGTGTTGGAAACTGCTGAATTGAAGCATACAGGTTTGGTACACCAGTCAAAACTCGATTTTCCTGGGCGTAAGGCAGCAAAACGGACTGAATTTTGTTCTGGGGAAGTGGGGGAAGTCCAGGAAGAGTTTGCCCACTTTGCACGAGAGGCTGAAGTGGTTGAGTAGAGGATTGCCGGATATTGGGCATCTGCAACTGCATATTAGTGATGGATTTAAAGCTTTATTACGAAAATTATTTCCATGAAAGATGGGAAAATCTCTGAATAAACATGACAAACCATTTGAGGGGACACCATTCCAAGCATAATCTGGGCCTGCATTTAAAAAGTTGATTAAAGTGACGTCAATCCAGCCACAATGCAGTCAAAAATGAGGAACAAAACGAGGAAAAGTGAACATCTAATGAAACCTATCAGGAATGGAGAAAGTAAGCAAATATGCTGAATATATTATTTAGGAGTATTTATTTTAATCAATATGAGAGGCCAATATTAACCTGGAAAATAGCTTTAGGCAAATTCGGGATGGCAAGTAAGAGCTGCCGTGCCTGTTCCTTATTTTTTGTAGCCATTACCTGTCAACGTCATATATACAACAAAGAGCGATAAAGACACCAAACACATTCATTTGTAACTCGTAATCTGCCATGACTGCCAGACTTACGTCATATTTGTTGTAGCCATTTTATATATCTATAGGGTTACAGTATCAGCTAACCTTCATTGCAGACATAACCTCTATCAGCTGCCTGCTTGAAAATTTGGCCAAATGACGAGTCAGAGGATCAGCTCCTAACACGGGCTGACTTTGAAGTCCAATCTGACTTTGTCCAGATCCAAGAGCTCCTGCCATAACAGTTGCAGCAGCAACAGCAACTGAGTCCCCCATTGGCTGGTGAAGACTTGATTGTCCAGCTGGACCCCCCAACTGTTTTAAACCATCTGCAGCATAGTCTTTGTGTAAATGCCCCACACTTCAAATCTCAATCAGAACATGAGTGACTTGGGGGGTGATTGTTAATGGATTCAACTAGTTTTTATTTGGTTTGTTTTCTAACTATAGTTAATTTTGAAAAAAATGTGGTATGGTTAGTTGTTAGTGGATATATTAACATAGTATTTATATAAAATAAATAATTAAAGTTGATTTGATGTAAAGTAGGAGAAAAATGATTGAAAGTGATGGTTAGTTTAAATTATGTGAGTGGATGAATAGTGAATTAAAGTTGATGTGATGTGTAAGAATGATTGGTTGTTATTACTTACTTATATTGATAATTCTGAAGATAGTGAGGTTGGGTTAAAGTTAAGTTTTGATTGGTTTCTTTTTAGTTAGATTCATAAACAATCACCCCCTTGGTAATTTTTCATCTTCATTCGAAAAAGATGCAACACGAAATGAATTCAATGATTTCACTTACCAACATTTGAGGGAACACCAGGACCACCACGGCCCNAAGCCTATCATCAAATGCTTTGTCTAGATGAGACACTACCGGCACTCAATACATTTGTATTCCACATTACTGCTAAGAATATAATAACATGGTTATGTTGATAAAACTCGCATAATGACATGGATTAGTACTTGATTTACCTGTTCACGATTCCGTTCAGCATTCTTGTCGTTCTCAGCAAAGTCAACTCTTAGCTGTCGACCATTTATCTCATAACCCTGAAGATTACGACGAGCACTTAGAGCAGTCTCTTCATCCTTGTACTCACAAAACCCATAACCTTTTGGTTTTCCAGTATCTCTATCAATAACTAATCTGAGATGGCCAACAACGATAATTTGAACCAGAAGATTTTACACAAAGATCTCAACAACAATTTATTGCCAAAAATGGTGTACTGAAAATGTTTTACAACCAAGTAGCTGTCACTGAACCCTTCTTACTATATTTCAGAAAATCGATCATAACCAGTAATTCGCACAAAGCTCTCACAGACTACTGAACAAAGCTGACTCTTCTTAGAGTATGCTTGGTAAGCACCATAAGCTCGCTTACTTGTTTTTTTCTTTTTTGTTTTTTTTGTTTTTGTTTTAGTTAGCTTATAAACTTTCTGTGTTCAAATAAGATTGGTTTGGTAAAACGAGTATTTTTAAAAAACTCGACCTTATCTCATAAACTTCGCTTTTCAACGTTGAAGCTGGCTTATCAGTTAATATTACCACAACTTTACCATATCAGCTAGCTTTTTAGCCATCAGCCCTAAGCTATCATCTATAAGCTCGAAATTCACTTTATTACTTATAAGCTATAAACTAACTTATCACCTAGCTAGTTATAGCTAGGTTTACCAAACATAGTCTCAGAAGAGAAGAAGATGGAAATTATGCTGCTATCATGCATAATGTAAATGTATGATTCTAGTTACACTAGGAAATTGCTACGCAAACAGATTCCATATACCCAAATTACACAATTTATACATTGACAAATTACACCAGCGTCCAAGAACCTGATGCTGTTCGCTTTCCTACATTGCCTTTCACGACATTATTACTTAATTCCCTACATGAACTTTTCAGATATCCTTATTTCATTCCAACAGCATAAATTCTAATGATCACATCTAGCAAATGAACATATTCTTACAGGTTTGCAGACACAAGATGACTTAGTGAAGAATTTATTCAAACAATATCTTAAGAGTGACAATAAATAGCCAAAACAACGACATATTGGCATCAAATTACTACTTTTTTTTACTTTCTGTACACGAGAAAGCCAGTTTAAAAAAAAAATGTAATGTAAATGATAGAGTCCATTGAGCATTAAATGAGCAGACTTTCTATACTTTTACAGGATGTTTGCCTACAGAGAGAATACACACATCCAATAAGCCCTATGCTTTAGTACTACTACAGTTCTTCTGAACTCTGACAGAGGAAGAAAAACGTAAGGAATAAGAACTCACCTAAAGGAAACAACCGGCCCAACCTCCTCGCATATTTGAACAAGTTGTTCTTCAGTAGCATCATAGGGGATATTACCAACTGTTAGACAGATACCGACTTTTAGTAGATAAAATCACAACTTTTAAACCCTACCTCATTAACAACAGCATAAGTATAGCCTGATTTCACAAGATATTGGGGTTTCGAATCTTAAAAACCAAATCTAAGGCACTAATCCAAGCTTAGATTAGTTAACAACGATGATGAATTTTCGTGTCCTAAAAACCAAATCTAAGGCACTAATTCAAGGTTAGTTATATAATAATACAGTCCGAGAGCTAGACAATCACATACCAAAAACACAACGATGTTGGGACTGAGGATTGCCGGCCATCAAAGGCCTTGATTTCTAATAAAATCAACAAAAAACTAAACGTGAAACCATCATTGTGATTCCATGTAGTGCTCTTCTATTTCTTCACAAAAATCCTTCCAACAACTTTGCCGTGCCAGCCATGATTCGAACTAGTTTATGACCTCTCTTTGTACCATCTCAGCTATTCATAAAGTAACAAATCACGCAAAACATATAAGCGCGCAAAATTAATAGCAAAATTGAAAGGAGATCTCATGCTCAAGACGTACTGATAGCAAAGTTTAGCATAATATAGACCTTTCTCATTTCAGAATCAAGACTTCTAATGAAATTGGGCACTTAATTTAACAAACATAAAAACCCTCATCCTTCAAATTATAAAATTTCGGCACCCACCTGAACATGAATCGACCAAGCGGACTAACTAATACTCGAAGTTTAGATTCTCGTAGCTCAGTCGTGACTCAAGGTGTCCTCCCTTTCAGACGGCGGCTAGACAAGTCAAAGCCGATCCCGAACAAAAAACAATGTGGAGCAGGGGCAAAAAATACGGGACAAAACAAAATAAAAATCAATTAGAAAAAGAGAGAGTGAAAGAAAAGTTACGGCCGGTGAAAATCGGGCAACAGCCAAGGTGGCGACTTGGGGAAGAAGAAGATAGTAGGTTGTTGGAAGAAATACAAAGTAATTTTAATTTTTAATAAAATTGAATTACTGCAAAAAGTCATACCTAAGGGCTTGATTATCAATTATTTCATTCCCATTTATTTTATACTTAAAATTTAACTCAATTTTAATTTAACTCTATTAAATTAATTTTAATTATTTTATTTTAAATATTATTATAATACATTCTTAAAATTCCACTAACAACTATTTATACCATCTTTTTTTAAATTAACTATGGTTAACCAAATAATTAATTTTGAACAAACTATTTCATAAACAATCACCTCCTAAATTCTTTCATCAAATCGGAATAAGGTGAAAATCCAGGTTTTATTTAATTGATCCATACCATCAACAATTAATTTAGCTTTTGTAAAAAATAATAAATAAAAAATGATTTTTTTTTCAAATCTATATATTTATGTGTGTGTATATATATATATATATGGATTGGTTCAAATGCATCCGCTTATTTAAAGTTAGGACGTGAGACTCATTCCTAGCCACAAGATTTAGATCTTGATTTAAATAATAATTCTTTATTTTTATTATTTAATTCTTTATTTTTAAATATTTAAATATTATTATGACCATTGACCGTTGACTCCAGCGTTGACCGTTGACTTCCGGCGAAAATCGTTGACTTCCAGCGTTGACCGTTGGCTCTGGCGTTGACCGTTGACCATTTGTCTTTTGTTGTTATGTTATTTCTTTCTTGCTAGGTTAGTTGAGTTTTGTTGCTAGGTTAGTTGTTTGTTGTTGCTAGGTTTTTTTTTTTGATCAGGGCCCCAAAAACGGGAGCCCAAATGTCAACGAACCAGATACAAAGGTCTACATAGTCTGACAATCAAAAAAACAAAAACAAAAGGAAAACAAGAAAGAAAAACCGAAAAACGAAAAAGAAACAAAAACTACAATATAAAGTCGATCTTCGGGCTAACAGATGCCCGAGATAAATGTCTATACTAATGAAAATAGAAATCCTAAACTAGTGAAAGCGGAACGCTGGATATCCAAGCTGGTCCATCCGTACAAGAGTGCGAAGACGGAATGGAGCAGTGTCGGTCTGGAATGTATGTGTGCCTGGTATGGTGGCGCCAAGGCTGGCCAGGTAATCAGCCGGTCTGTTCCCCTCACGGAAAATGTGCGTGATCCTGTGATGGACTGACTGAAGTAGATCTCTAATGCGCAGAAGCGGGTGCTGAATCTGCCACGAGCCTTGATGGCCCGAAGTCAGGAGGGTAGCGACAGCCCCAGCATCCAGCTCGATCCATATATGACTAGAGAGGTGGACAGCAATCTGAAGGCCAATCTGTAGTGCCTGAATCTCTGCATCGTAGCTCGAGGAGGCCTGAATGGACGCGTGGAAGGCGGTGATTAGGGCGCCGCTATGGTCCCGAATCAAGCCTCCTCCTCCGGCAAGTCCAGTGTGGCGATCGAAGGAGTCATCAGTGTTCAGCTTGACCCACGGAGAGTCAGGTCGCAGCCAAACAACAGCTCTGGCCCGTGGAGGCCGAACAGGCGATGGTGGGGCCACCAAGTAGCGATGCGGTGGCGTGCAGCCTGTCCAGTCTCGGGCCGTGAGCCTGCCCAATGCGGTGAGGAGTGAAATGTGTCTCTCCACCTGCAAAACAATGTGAAAAAACATAAAAGTAATATCCCTATGCTTCGCACTATTCCTTTCTGTCCAGGTGAACCAAAGGATCAGACAAGGAATGAGGAAGCCCACGTGTCTAATGTGTGTGCTCTGTGAGAAAAAACTCAGGAGCTCAAAAAAACTGTATGTGGTGGGTAGGGATATATGAGTCCAAGTGGCAAAATGCTCCCACACTCTCCTCACAATCTCACTCTCTAGAAAAAGGTGGGTAAAGGTCTCAGTCTCATGTCGTCCAGTCTCAGAACAACACACACACCGAGAGGGGAAGGAGATCTCTCTCGCGTGTAGCACAGTATCGACAGGTATCCGGCGCAAGAGGAGGCGCCAAAGGAACACCGAAATAGTAGGCGTGAAAAAGTCACTCCAGATAGCCCCGAAGAGGAGATTAGGCCGATCAATCAGCCTTATCTGCTCCCAAAGCCGAGGTAGTAGAAAACACACCTGATGATGTAAGTCTCCACCTCATGCTATCTGAACCGTCCCCCGAGATAGGGATCTGCTGGATCTGATCTAATAACTGCTCGTTAAAACCCGCACCAGCCCCCAACTCCCTATCAAGCTTCCCCCTATCCCACGACCCGTCCGTCCAAAGGTCGCTCACGATCAGGTAGGGGGAATGCGACACCTGTCTATCCCTAGACAACGGCCTATCACCTACCCACCACTCATCCCAGACACTGACATCGCCCCCGCCTAAAACCCAAAAGATGTGATCCTGGGCTCGCCTCCCGACCCTAGTGAGGCGCCGCCACTGTCTGCTATCGTGATCAACAGCCGTGACCCAACAAGGGTGGTTGGCACGTCTACGGCAGTACTTTCCGCGAAGGTACTGAGCCTAAAGCGACTTTTCTTCCCTGAAGCGCCACCATAGTTTGTTGTTGCTACGTTAGTTATTTGTAGCTGCTAGGTTAGTTGAGTTTTGTTGCTAGGTTAGTTGTCTTAAGTTGCTAGGTTATTTTTTTCTTGCTGCTAGGTTAGTTGTCTTTTGTTGTTAGGTTAGTTCTTTCTTGCTGCTAGGTTAGTTGTCTGATGCTGCTAGGTTAGTTGTCTTTTGTTGCTAGGTTATTTCTTTCTTGCTGCTAGGTTAGTTTTCTTTTGTTGCTAGGTTAGNNGNC